TGCGTGCCGTATCATGGCTACGAAAAAATGACCTACGGCATTTGAGAGAGGCCATTATGCGTTAGAAACGATCTCTCACCGCAGCGACGGATCCAGGATGTCTGCCAAACGAAAATCCGAGCTTCAATGGGAGTCTACTCATACCTTTATCATACACGTCCCCATAAAAAGAAAGACGATTGGTTCCCGAACCACGGTGGGTTAGGTCTACCTTTTCAAGCGCGCAACAATTGGCCATTTGGTACCTGCCGATTGTCGAAACGTTACCGTAAAATCGCAGAGGCGGCTTCCAATTCCCGATCATGGCGACGAGCATGTTCGGATGATCTTTCGAGGAGAGCACATCCGAACGTTCTTCCTTTAGTAATTCTTTTTTCCTCTTTTTCTTTCTTTTATTCTTTTCGTCTCGAAGGAAGCGTACGTACTCGACCGCTCTTGATCCGCTCCGTAGACATAGGAAGTGTCGCGTAGGAATCGCGAACAACGGGAAATTAACATACGTGTCGATCGGTCGGCTGTACCAGCCATGTGATGCCGTGCCATGTACAATCCCCAGCGGCGTTGGCGAATGTTAAGTGTAAAAAGTAATGTACAGAAGAATATATAGAGATAAGAGAATCATGCCCGCCTACAGTTTTGTACAGTACGTTTCGAAACGATCGCCTCGTATTCCCACAATGTAACACGGGCCACAGTTATCGTGCCCCTCGGTCGTAGCAACGGTGAGTCTTTTCTTTCTTAGTGCTACCGTTTTTTATGCCGCTTCGTAATATTGCAGACGTTGCAATTATATCATCACAGTCGTTTTAAATTTGTATATATTCATCTCTGGTCTTCCGAAAGTGTCTTATTCGGGGAGTATATTGTATATGGTAGCATCGCAAGACTATTTGGAAGAGACTCTCTCGATGTTATTTGTTACTTTTACTTTAACTTAATAAAAAGTATATATAAATATATAATATGTATAGACGCGCGTGTGTATAACAATGTTATTTTTTATCCTTTGTAGTCTAATTTTCTTTGGAAAGAAAAATTTCTAATTGATGCAGAGATGTGAATATAAATTGAAATTCAGTTCAAGAAATATACGCATTTTTGCGAGAATGTGATAAAGAAGCGATTTATCGATCTTCGAGGTTATTGAGGATGCAGGTAAGAGTCAAGGATACGCAAAACAACTACCGATCTATCGCAAGTCGATAAAGAAGATATCACTTTAGTAATATCAACAAGTTAAACAATACGTAGATTTTAGCGAGATATTTCTAGTTAGTGATAATAATTTAATTAAATCTAATGCTTACGCGTAATTTATAATTAAAAACTAATGTTTACATAATTTTATCTGTCAAAATTCATTAATTTACTATTTTAATCAACTTGATCATTATGTAAAAATACAATAAACGGTACACAACATTGTCTTAATCTTATATAATTTAAAAATGTAAAATTCTTTACCGCCATATATCACAAATTAAATGAAAATAAAATTAAAACATCGGGATCTTAAATATCATTTTAGTCGTCTTTCTTTCTCATCGAAGACGTACAACGTTCTGCAAGTAGAACAAGAAATTTTTCTTGAAACGCAACAAAATTCGCTACGTCGTTATGAACGCGTATATTACCGGCTCTCAATATTATTTTCTATATTCATACCATCTTTTGCCTCTTCGGGAAAAGTGACTTTCTGATATTTTACGTTAGAAAGACGTGCATCAAATTCAAACTCGAATCTTACGTATACACGTGACTCCTTCTCGCGAGGGGGCCACAAAGGAAGACCGCCGCTCTTCTGCAGAGTTATTCCTTGGATAACTCGACATAGACAGAACGCGAGTGGACGTCGGAAGCCGTGAGTTATCTGTGAGAACGTCACGGTCCATCACTCGCGACTCGCGGATGCTCCACTCTTGCATGTTACCATCTGCACGGCACCGTTACCGCCGCGCTGTCTTAACCAGAGTTCTCTTGAGCGGCGCGCAATCGCGCCGAAGGTGTATTTGAACAGTCTCGATCAAAAAATTAATTTAAATCAAATTAATCTCTAAACGCCTCTTTGGTATGATATACTTGACTTTTTTTCCAATGCTTTCTCTATTACTTATAACTTTTTTATTAATAAGAATATACGTATATAGTAACGTTATGTGTTTTTGAGGTCCAATTTTCTAATTAACTTGTAGTTTGGATTTAATCTCAGTAATTTTTAAAATTAGAGTCTGAGCACAAGAATTGTTGTAACGCTTACTCAAGTTGTAGACGTAAGTAACACATAAGCTTTGACGTATGACGTACGACTTATTGTCGTTTCTTAGAGACATGACAATAAGTTGTACGTCATACGTGAAAGCTTGTGCGTTACTTACGTCTGCAACTTAAGTAAACGTTACGACAATTCTTGTGCTCAGACTCTTAGACTACAAAACCATCAGTTTAGTGATTAATCATAGCTAAAAAAAAAGCATAATTTTTACAATATTATTAAGTTAAATCCAACAACAAATTAATCAAAAAATGATTGAGCCTTAATCTCTGGCGTTTCAAAGAAAAAAAATTTTTACAATATTTTTATGAAAGTTATAAGCAATTGAAATTAAGTTAGGCATGCCAATGTGTGTTGTTCCCAATGTGATACGTTTAAGGGTTACATTTTTTATTTCAAAAGGCTGTTTGTGTTTAAATAAATAAATAATATATCAATCAAAAGTGAATGTTGCAGATAAAAAACGATCAGCGAATAAATTGCGAATATTATTACAGGTATTTATTACGACATAAACTATTGAAATAAATATTAAAAACAAATTAAAATAGATTAAAATAAAATTGTCAGAAAAGAAAGGCTACGAGTCAATGCTAGTTATTAGATGTTGATAATTAATCTATTTTTAACATTTATCAAATCGATATAAACATTAAATCATACATACATACGTTTCGACCTTGATCAAGTGATCGTTAGTGTGAAACAAGTAATTAGACTGATTGAAAATAGAAATGAAAATAAAAACAAAAAGATCGCAATATAAATTGATTACATAAAAATAATTAATAATTTAAACATAATAAAACGTTAATGATATCATTAGTAATAAAAGTATTTCTGAATTCACATTCTATTTCGATAGAAGAATTAAGAATACAACAATAAACGAGATCGCGTGATTAAAACCATTATAAAAAGTTCGTAAAAATAAAGATTAAAATAAATAAATATTAATTAAATTAGTGAAGGGAAATGAAGAGTTTTTACCGGATAATTAATCAAGTTTCCACATATTTCTATGAATTATTCGATAACTGTTCAATTATTCATTATTTATTCGCAAGAATAATTGCTGTAAAAGTTGCACATCCAATGCATGGAGAGCTTAGAAAGCGAATTCTCTCATGAATATGAAGGGTTCTTCTTCGGTGAAAATTTATTCGAGCATCGCATGTTTTTATAACGCTCTCTTATGGTCGCTGGATATTTCTGTTAGTCACGAACTTGTTCGCAAAAATCATCGTGCAGATTCTCGGGCCATGCCCGGGGAACCAACCAATGATTCTACATTTCTCGCGGAACCGTACATCTTTTCCGACACACTTCTCCAATACTTTTTTACCACACGTTATTTGTTCCTTTCTTTCCGAAGACGCGAACCGCATTCGCCTCGTTTCAAGCACAAAAACCCACTGGCATAAAGAGCGAGTCAGTTTTTCCGATTCTTAATGGTCAGCTGGAGGCTGCGTTCCCGATGAAGTCGTCGATATCGACGCTGAATCTATCTCCGACGTTCTCCACGCTGCTTCGCGGCGAAGAAAAACACGCGAACTATGGCCGAGCGGTTGTTGCGCACCGCAGACAATGATTAGCGTCCACGTCAAATCTTATGCCTAACAGATAGCCGCAGACTTTCACCGAGATGAATCGCGCGCGGTCGGGAAGAATACGCGTTCGATCTTTGGAGAAAGGCCGCGCTGTGCCCCAAACGTGTTACTCGACATCGTGCCCAGGATGGAAAAACCGTGTCCACGATGGAAAAATCGTGATAAAGTGAGAGCCTATAGACGACGGCCACAGAGTAATAATGGAGAGGTATGCTCTCTCTCGTACGATTTGCAAAAATTATTATCGATGTATTGGATTTATAAAGAGGAAACACAGTTTGAGACGCATCTCTACAGACTGCACCTCTCTCTATAGATTTGAACTTTCTAAAATAATTCGCGATTTATGTTTATCTGCTAATTAAGTCAAGTAAATCCATCGCGTAACACTTGCTTCTGCGTTTACTTGGAAGATTTACTCAATAAGAAAAATAGGAAGAAAAAGAAGAAGAGGAAGAAGAAGATAAATCTTTGTCTATGTATTTTCTGCAATTTCATTACCGGCATAATTGTTAGTTTTCATCCACAAATATATATAAATCAATTTAACAGACTATAAGTCTTATACAGAAATGAGCAGAAAATGAGCAGAAAGTTTATATAGCTTTAGGCAGCGCATGGAAATTTCTCTCTATTCGAAAGGTGAAGATATACGTGGGAGTTCAGTCGAGGTCTATTAGATCTCAAAGTAATATTCTTAAGATCAAAGCGGCGAACAGCGACTGGCTACTTCAAACAGCAGTTCCTATCTTATAAATATCTCTCGTGGTTTCCAATTATGCAAAAGAACGAAAGAAATAGAGAGAAAAGGCAAAGATAGGCAGACTATCTCTCCTCATAACTTGTCACTAATATCAATTAATAGTCTGCAAAATCTTCTTCACGGTTGATTAAGAGGCACTTGGCGGTCCAGAAACGACCGGTTCCAGCCGCAAAACTCGCCCGCGTCTTTCATCGACAGCTTTCTGGCGGGGCCGAAAGACGAAAAGCACAAGTATAATCCCGGACAAGCGCGGAACCGAGGCGAACACGAGACGAGGGGCGATGGAGGGAAGAAGAGTGGAAGGTGGATTGGCGGAGATGCAGCTTAGGATTCCGAGTATACCCGAGCAGTTTCTGGTTGGTTGGTAAGTGGGACTAGCGGGGACTCATAGGCACGTAGCGTCCTACGCGAGGCCGCAGTCGGGCGCAAACCCCGAAACAATCTCATCGCGGGTTATCTTCCATCCACACCGGTCTCTCCGAGCAGCAACACCACCAACAGCACCAACAATACCAGCTACGATAACACCAATAACGACTCGCGAACAGTACGGTTCACGGCCTCGGAAGAGTTGCGGAACGCGGAAGAGGGTGCGCTATATAGACGTGCGGAGACGGAATTTTGTCGTCGCGATCTTGGGTGCCACAGTTGGTGCCAGTCCGAGTCGCGTGATCGTACCTGTCGAATCACCGCCACCGGCGATTGTCAAACGATCCCCGTGTACTGTATTCGATCGCGGTAGCGCGCGAACCGTAGAGGTTTCCTTTTGCGAGAAAATCGGTTGAAGCAATCAGGGATCAACGAGAAATCGGAGAACGATTGGTGGATTAGAGCCGACTGGTCTACCGGCTTGTCAGTGGCGTGCAGGGAAGTACGCCTTCCTTCTTTCCTATCAGAGATCGCGGTCGAGGTCGCGTTCAAGGTGGCGCGAGGACGAAAGTCTAGGTCGAGGGTCAGTCTACCTACGCGCTACACGAGGTATGAAATCTTCATAGTTTTGCTTTGGAATATTAATCAAGATACGGGATAGTAGTGTATTTGCGAATTTCTATCATGAGAAGATCGACTCCTTCAGTTATGATTTTTTTATTTAGTACATAATATTTTATTTAATACATGTGATAGTTTGTATGCTTTTATGTTTGATAATTTTCTTTCATTTTCTCTAGAGTTTCTATTATAAATAAACCAAAGAATTTAATAGAAATTGTTTCTTTAATAATGGATAATAAAATTATAATTTATTGATATATGTACATGGTATATACCATAATAACATCAAATGTAATAGATAAAAATATATATATGTGACAAATAATTTTGTTATCTACTAGCCATTATTCGTTACAACTATTATACTACAGATAACGGAACTGTGAAATAAGTACGTTTGCTTTGCCGTAATTGTTGATGATGAAGCGATTGCTATCTTTTTTATCTTGTCTTGTAGCCACAAAGCGGTAGCTGATTCGATTTACGATTGATTCAATTTCTGTATAAACGATATTTCGTGTCTACAAATTCGCAACGTCGTCAGGTGTACAAATTAACTGGATTGAGAAAAACGGGAAAGTGCATCTTCTTTTTTTTTTTTTTTTTTTTTTTTTTTTTTTTTTACGGACAATGTTCGTTCGACATCGATGATTCCGCCGCCGAAGCGAAGGTAGATACCGAAGGAACAACATTCCGATCACGACCGCCGACTTTGCTCTTCGTACTTCCGTTACAATCTACGTGTCCAACTACCGGGCGCTACCGATGCGAATCGAGCCGGTGGGTGTATTCATTATTAAATGTCTTATTCTAGATAATCGTGCCTTCCTTCCTTCTTATAAGCTCTCATCCTCTTTCTTATTATGAATATTGCTCGTTCCTTCTTGAAAAAGGGAAGAGAGGAAGAAGACGATAATATATCATTATCCGTGTATCTTTGGTGGATCGTTCATCAAACAAGCCGATTTTCCGTTTGGGAGAAGAATTTGCCTTTGTTTTCATACGTTTTAGGCTCAGATCAACTTTAACCTCGATTCAATTTACTCTTGATCTTTTTAACTAATTTTTATGCCCGTTTATACCAATGTACACTGAAAAAAATGTCTGGTTGAAAATGAACGAATCAGAATTTTCTGATTAAATTTACTAGAATTCTAGTTGAGATAACCGGAATTCTGTTTGATACAATATTTTTGATAAAATCTATTAGAATTCTTATTTTTATCAGAAAATACTGATTCGTCCATTTTCCACCAGAATTACTATTTAATCCAGCCAGACCATTTTTCTCAGTGTAGTTTAATTTTAATCTCAGTTCAACTAACTATCTTTTTCTAATTCTAAGAATTAAAAATTAGGAATTAAAGTTAATCTACATTGATAGAACTCTTAGAATTAGCAACAAAAAAACTCCAAAACCAGGGCGAATGAGAGTCAGCGTGGTAAATTAATACGCAATCTTAATTCTTCAGCCAAACAAATTTAAAATATCAATCCCTTCAAGGAAAAATCACCATCAGATTAGCAGATTTGATGTTCTAATTCGAGAAACATTAAAATTATCTTATAAATAATTTCTATTGAACAAGTTTCAAATTAACAATAAAACTGGTGACTCACACCCCAAGGCATACAATTCGTCTCAACATTAATCTTAGAATTAGAAAAAGATAAACAGTAAGTCCAGCTGAGATTAATCTTACATTGATGGAGCCGGGCCTTATTGTTATTTCGATTCCCTCTCGAAATGAATCAATCATAAGTAGTTTCTGCATGCAATTTTCAAATATGATTTCAAAGGCAAGAAAGGGACGCATATGACGCGCGTTTTTTCGATGTCTCGCGCATTACGGCAGCCTCCGAGTAGCCGGTGTGGCGAATGACGCGACGAGCCACGGGGGATTACAATGAGGAAAAGGGCTACGCGACGCGTTAAGTCGAAAGATCCGTTAGGCGGTTACGTCGTCAGTGGCGTTGACGCGAGTCGCCGCGCGAATCTCGCCGTGTTTCTCTTTGTCTTCTGCTTCGGCTTTTGAATCGCGCGAGATCCTTTATGTGTCGCGCGGACGCAAGACGTGAAACGCCAACGATTTTACGAGATCCATCAAGGTGCTCTCTTTCTCTGTCCTTTTCTCCGTCGGTGCTCATATCCATTGCTAATTGCACGACGCTTTTGTGTACAGTCGACCGCCGCGCGCTTTCCTTTCAGTCTCGTTAGTCCGACAAATTGCCGAAACAAACGCATGCGTATCGATCCGTGAATGTTCGTTTTATTTGCGCAAGTAAATTAATGCTCGCTGCTCTCGCGAGTTGCTCATTAATGGTGAAATTATTCACCGCTCGCCTATAACTCTAACGTGCAACGAATTGCTAACGAGACAGAGAGAAACGTGTTTGAGATAGATAGATAGATAGATAGATAAAGGCATTTATTGTTGCTGTCTAGGACAAGTCCTCTAAGAACATTAAAACAGAAGAAAAATATAAGAACAGAGAGAGAAATATGCAATTAACGAAAATAATACAACAAAAATCAAATTAATACAAAAAATATGAAAAAAAATTATATAAAGACGAAAAGATGACACAGTGAGGAACGGATGCGAATGAAAAAAAAAAAGAAAAAGCCGCAATTATATCGACTTGAAAGAGAGAGAGAGAGAGAGAGAGAGAGAGAGAGAATACACAAAAAGATACCGAGTGTGTTAATTATACGGTTTGATCTTCTGCGTATCTTAACGTTTCTTTTTTAAATTGCGATTCATATCGTTGTAACATCGTAAAAGCGTTCGTCCTTTTTTACTCGCTCTCTAAAACTGCGTGTACCGTTTTGCTATAACTCTATAATGCCCGTTTCTACCAATGTGGATTAACTTTAACCTCCGTTCAACTAACTCGTCTTTTTCTAATTCTTAGAACTAGAAAACGATAAAGAGTTCGTTGAATCGAGATTAAAATTAAACTACATATAAATGTAGTATAAATCTTTTTTTTCTCCGTGTCCCTCATTACGAGAATAATGTAATTGTTACATTGTTCGCATAAATGGCCGATGTCGCGAATGTTTAAATACTTTGCGGTTGAAGCGTGGAAACTCATTCTCCCGCCCACAATTGTGCGGTTTACCGTGACGGAAGAATGGCAGAAGTATGAACAATTTCCGAATAGCGGACAGTTCCCATTGTGCGTAAATTTAATCCACTAGAAAACAATCAGACCTTCTTCTTACGAATGAAACGAATAAACTCGAATAAGAGTCATATTTCGCACACTGAGAAAAATATCCAGTTAAAGATGGACGAACCAGAAGATTTTGATTATATCAATCCTATTATCTTAATTGAGCTTCTAGTAGATTTAACCAGAGAATTCAGATTCGTCCATTTTCAACCAGAATTCCAATAAATTCAGCCAGAGACATTTTTCTCAATACAGAGAAAATACCCGTGAGATTCAGTAGCAATTCGACGCGTTACAGTTTCGAAACGATCGTATTTAATCAGCATTCTTTATCACGCTATCTCGCGCGTGTGTATCCACTCGAAACGATAGACATTCTTCTCTTCTTTTTACACAGCCCGTGTCGCGTTCTCGCTTCCGTTATACTGAGACGCGCATCCGTCGCAGGTACATATTCAGCAACGTGAGATACATATTCTAATGAAGCGTAATGTCTAACATCTGATGCTCGAAGCGTGTGCGGTGTCCGCTCGCACCCGCGCGCGCGAGCGAGCGAGCGAGCGAGCGGGCGCAGTTTGATACGGCCTTGCTAATGCAACGAGATAACGGCTCGTATGGTCGGTTTGTACCGAATGACCCAATTTCACCAGTGTCGTATGGCATACGTGCGATAACTGTTGCGGCACAAGCACCGACGCGCGGACAAGATCGAGCACGTGAAAGGAAAATACGTAGGTAGGCACAGGCAGATAAGCGGTCAGCTCGCCATGGACCGATGCACGGACATTCAGGAAGACGAACAAATAAACACCGCCGCCTCTCCCAACTATCTATCTCCTCGCCCCACCTAATTCCTATCTGTCGACGTAAATGTTTCGGACGGGAAAAACGCGGTCGACCTGCTTGACCGCGCGAAGAAGAGATCGCGAGATTACAGTCGCGATCGACGCGAAAGGTCCTGGTGTGAAAAAAAAATTTTTCCGAGAGGACGGAAAGCGACCTCGGGCTCGTCGAAAGGGGCACACATGAATGAGGAAGGACTCTATAATTGGAAAATATCTCGTACATACGTTACACGTACAACGGAAATTCTATAACGCGATTTCGCCAATCTATCGTAACGCAACTGCAGCTGTAGATTGCGGGCATTCTGGTCGCAACGAGAATTTCCATCTCTCCGAGTCGAACTTGACATGTAGCAATTACCTCGGTTGTTTTTCTTATTTGCATAATTTCGCACGATATAGACGTTATTTTTCTCTCATTGTCACACAAACGAGAAATTATATTTCTCGTGTTATTAGCTTTGCATTATCGCGTTCGAAAAAAAGAGTGTATTTCACTTAGCCGTGTACGAATATGGAGACATAAAATGCGAGTAAACGACAGAAAATTATAGAGAGAGGAAAGATGTAACGTGATAAAAGACAGGCTGGATTACGAGCTTCGTACGCGACGAAATGACGTGTACTCGAGTTCAACGTGTACTTGAGTTCAGCGTGAACTTTAGCCGCGCTCAGAAAAATCTAATTACCGTTGCGAGAGCGAGAGCTCTATCCTGTTAAGGTCGTCCCGAAGCAAACATTCGGACTGTATAAAGGGAAAATGCGTTACGTTCTATAATATATTATCCCATCCGTATCATGTAATATCTCGACAAACCGCAGAGATACCAGGTCTATAATCCTTTCCCTCATTCGCGATATTGACGCGGAAAAGCGAAAGCGACGATTTTTCGAAGGAAAACAGGAAGGGAAAAAAAGAAAAAAGAATCAATGCAAACGCAAGAAAGTAAACGCAAAAGTGAAGACGACGCGCGTTGAGCTACTTTTCGAAAAATATCTCTTCCGTTTCTTGAAAGTCCACTTTAGACAATCTATAATTCATATTGGAATTCAGGACAGAATTCTGCTAATATTTTATGTGATATATAATATAAAAAAAAATATTTAATTAGAATGCACATATATACAAAGTATACATTAAATATATACATTTATGTGCATGTACTTATATTTTATATATACGTATAATCATAAGCAGAATTCTATCTTGAAATCTGATGGATTACGAATCGTCTAAAAGTAGCCTTAACGGGATCGAAAATATACAACTGCAGTTCCATGATAGTTACTGACATAATATGCATTTTATTCGCAGGTTATAAGCGAACCACCGGTCTAAAGGAAGCGTCGCTTATATACTCGTAAGAACTCCTCGAAGGAAGACAAATTGCACGCGAAAATACGATAACGGAAGCGGCAATTTTCCGTAACATCGATACTATAAGGATGCGGGCTATCCAGTGTTACGTTTGCCTCGCGTTGCTGCTGATGACAGCGTCGGCCGTCCCGGCGTCGTCGAAGGGCGACTCAGCCAAGGTCAAGAAAACCACGGCGACCACGTCCGGAGGAGGCAAGAACACCTCGGCGATCACCGCGACGACGGCAGCGTCGAGGCCGATCGCGAACGCCACGTTACATTCGTCGTCATCTTCCTCGACCGCAGCGGCGGCGGCGACGACGACGACGACGAGGATGACGGCGACGGTGCCGCAGACAGTCGCTACATCCACCACGACGACGCTGAAGCTACCGGCCTCGTCAACGACAATCGCGGCGACAGGAACGGCGACGGCGACGACGGCGACGACGACATCTGCGTCGCCGTCGCTAACGTCGTCCACGGCGAGTCTTCCGAGTTCCCGTATTCCACAGGATGGCTCGAGTCCCACCTACATCACCGAGACATCGCCGAGGATAATCTCGCCTACTCAACATACCGCAGTCACGGTGTTGTCATCGAGAAAATCAGCGGCTTCTGCAACCGCCGCAGTCACCGATGTCACGACCAGTTCGCCTTTGACGGCCAAGGAGACGCGGGAATCGCCCGGAAAGATTAGACCGCAAATCAAACTGACAACAAATTACACCACCGCCAGCGAGGTAAGCGCATTAATTCTAACCGATCGACCGACCGACCGACCGGTTGACTGTCCCCCCGTTTTCTCTACCTGCACCGCGTCTCCGCTAGTCGTGTTTCTCGCATTGTTCCGTTTATTTTGCCTTAACTGCCGCCGGTCTTAACTATCACGGCACAGATTCCCGGCTTGTAATCGCTTTGCATGATGAATGGTCGCGAGCTCAACAGAATATCCAAGTCCTAATTGGCTTATACGTTAAGCCGGTCGTGTCGACGTACCGCCGCGAATTCCGCAAAATTCCGCCGCAACGGCTGCTTTATGCAGTCATGCAGGTCGCAAACGCGAAGTGATTTTCGAAACGTCGACATCCTACACGGTTTAACGTTAAAATTGAGGCAGCGCGTCATCCGGTGAATTTCGCTGGAAAATCAGAAATCGTCCGGAAGATAAGCGAGGAAGTCCTCCGAGAGATCAGCGAGGAGAAAACCAGTGACGAGAAATATTCTTCGTACGTTGCTGTTCATTCACGTCTCGTGCTGTTTCGTGGAATGCGAATAAGTTGTAATACGTTTCATTACGTTTTATGCCCGCCGTTGGATATAATTTCATAATTAGAGTTCCTTCTCCAACTTACGCGATGCGAGAGAAATTAAACTCCAAGTCCATCGAATAATAATATCTGCAACTCCAATAGGAAAAATTCCTACGGTTCTCATAAACGTATATTACTGGTATATCCTAGATCCTACAAATTATTCCAAGTAAATCGGAAAGCAATATAGATAGAAGCTAATAAGAGAAAATTACTTTACATTCACGCTTATCGAAAGAGATTAGACGTGCTACAAAATTCCCGAAGTACCGACAGAACTCTTTTTTTTTCCCTTCCTCTCTATGTCGTGCGATGGAAAAGAATCCCAAATCTACCATTCCTGTTCGCCCCCTCTACTTTTAAGCGAGTGCAGAAAAGCGTGTATCCGATGATGCGCGATAGAAAGGAACCCAGATTCGAGTTATACAGCCAACATAGAGGATCGTATGGGGTTTGAGAAAAAAATGCCATATAGGTCGACCGAGAAAGTAGCGTGTGCACCGTAACGTACCTCCGCGTACGTAGAAAATACTACGTATCTAATGCGCCCGCCGCGTAGACGACGAGAGCGTGGACGGATACGCGTATGCAAAATGGCAAAAACGAGAAAGTAATCGGCATTCGGATACGGCTGGACGTCGTTACGGGACACATCGTAATTATCCAAGTTAATCGAGTGTGTGCCACGCTCCGTTCGCGATAAAGCAAGATGAATCAGGCAATTGGGTCACACCTTAGGCAAATCTCTCATAGCCAAGGGGAGAAATCATTTCTTTTCTTTCCCGTGTTTTCTTTAAGCACGCAGACCTCTGTAGTCACTTCTAATTTACATGTCTTCGGACCTTCTCGTCTCTCTTTCTCTCTCTCTTTCTCTATCCGCATTGAGGTAACGGCGGTACATATCGATGTTATATGAAACCGTTGAGTCATTTACGATCAAATAAGCGAACATAACGCGTCTTGATTACAAACGAACGATTTCGTTCCGTGGAATACGGTAAATCCGCCGCGCTCGCGCGCACGAGGTAACGGGGTGCGCGGAGTCATTAATAATAATTAAGTATCCTAACGTATCCGTAATAACCGCGCGAACGCTAACGACGCCAATGCGTAAATTGAGTATGTAATATCTCACGTGATGGAATTATCTGTCCCGGCCGCTGGGTTGCGAGACGCGAACCTAGTGCCGTACGGTCATGGCGAGATTACGCCGAAAGAAAGCCTTATTATATGCACTGAGAAAAAAATTATGTTACATCAACAGCATTATTTTAACTGAAAATGATCTTGTTAATTCAATAACAGTATTAATGGAGAAGAAATAAAATTTTATCAAAACAAGAGCATATATATGATATGTTTCATTAATGTAGCGTTATGCGCGTGAATTAACAAAATTATTTTTAATTAAAATAATGCTGTTGATGTAACGTCATTTTTTTTCAGTGTATTATTAAGAATTGCCATGACATACCAATTCGTACGAGCAACGTCATGTTTCATCGTGCGAACAGTGTCGTGAATAATTACATTTTATGTCAAAATATATATTTTATTTTCGATCGCGATGCGCTCTCGTCGTTAAATTATGTACGAACTAATAGAGAAAGGAAGGAGGACGAAAGGAATCTCCCTCTGAATAAGAATAACATATGCGTCTAATTAGGAGTAAATTTAATCAACTGCGATTTAATTAATTCCTCCGTCAGGTCGTAACACTCGCCGGCGAGTGTGATATAATAGAGACAGGAAGAAAATTCAATTAACCACGGCTTAATTATCCGTGATTAATTGAATTCACTTCCTCTACCTGTATCGTGGCCAGCGCTATGATCTGAAAAGAGGGACGAGAGATCTATAGACCGCGATTAAAGTTAACCACCAACACCGGTGAAAATCGGCTGAACTGTAGCTTCGTCCAAGGACGGAATTTAATTGATATACGTCATATGGAGAGAAAAAAATTTTGTTAATTTAACAAACTATCAATATCTGTAACAAATTTGATTCGTAGATATAGTGACAACAAATGTGTCGGTACCGAAAATGAATATGATTTGTTACTTTTGTTGTCCAAGATCATTTTCTTCTGACATGAAGACTGATGCTAGTTGTTATGTTTGTCGTTATAAATTATTAGCAACATATTTTTTACCTACAAATATACTAGAACAAATGTGATTTGTATCGTAAACTGTGTATTGTTTGTTACATTGAATAAGGAGAAATGATTCGCAATAGTAACTGATCGATCCATTTTTAATGTTGTCGCTACAAATTTCTCATTCTAAAATTCCATATCCTTTTCCTGATTTCCAGACAAAATTTCACGATTTTCCTTGACTTCCAATAATATTTTCGTCCAATTTGGAAACCGTTAAATATTTTATTGAGAGTAATTTAACGTAGGAATGCAAATTACTATTAACGTTGCTGACATTGTTTGAATTTAATTGTTAAATTGATCCGAAAAACTACGTAGATGTAATGTACACGCATATCAAACTTCATTAAGAAGACTAAGAATTTCAATTTTCCAGAAAATGTCGCAAAATTCCCTGACTTTTCCCCAATTTCTCTGATCAATTTCAATTTCCCTGATTTCTCTGATTCCCAGTTTTGTAGCAACCTTGGTTTTTCAAGCAAATCATCACATATAACGAATTAGTTTTTGTTCTAATAATAAACTCGGTGTGCTCAGTGTGCGTTGCAACGCCCCGGGGAAGTCACGCCGGTGCTTCACGGCAAACTGGTACAAATGAACATACAATAAGTGCATGTGAAAGAACGACTCCAGCGCGGGTAATTGCGGGTTGCGGAGGTGATACGAGTCGCACCATTCATCCCGATATCGAATGAAAATCGCTGGGAATCGTTCGCGTGCGTGAACATACGCCTCAGTCAAGGCATACCGATTTCGCCCTGGATTTAGCGTATGGGAAGTCGGATATCCCTCGTCACTAGGGCGGGAAAAGTGAAGCAAGACAGGTTATTTTTCAAATAACTATCAATCTTGGTATAGGCTCCAACGAATAAATTCAAGGATAGATCAGGCAATGCGAGCCAACACAGGTTATGTATGAAATCGTATACTTTATTCTTGAGAAAAATTGACAAACGTTTCAACCCTTTCGATTGGATCTTCCTCATTGTAAAATCGGTATCAATTTAATATAAAAGACGCGATACACGAAGCAATTTCAAGTATCATTAACATATATTATAGATTATTTTTCTTTATCGTTGAGAATAGAGGCGAGGCTTCGACAGTCATAGAACAGAGCGCGTTTCTTTCATGCCGAACGCACGGCTAGTTCCACGACATTTCTTTGACGGAACAGCGTTTCTTCCGATTTATACATATCGTACTGTAGGGAAGGAAGCACGCTCGGTCAGACACGATTATTATAGTATACACGTGTGCATCAGTCACGGATGTCTAAGGGTAACGATCGTATCTTGAACGCCCGTTGTCGAGTTAAACTTCGATACGCGTGTTCGATATTGGCATAAATTCCTGATTTTACCACGTGCCGTAATCGACCGCATGCTCTGTTTCCATTTGATTATATAATCCTCCATTTGACTTATTATCGTGCGATCATTATTATCGTACTTTCTTCTTAGCGAACAATGACCGAATCGTCGGAATAATGTGCGTTAAGCGTTTTGCTTTAATCAAAAATATTTATCGAGGGCAAACACCTGGTTGATATTACCCCTTCCCTTGACTAGCGGTATAAAATACCGACATCCTGTATACGTAATAAAACTATGTTGCAAAATAAAGTGGGCACGCCGGTCATTATCGTGGAACTTTCTGCGCGGCACGCTTTTAGGAAGGCGTATTTTCAAATGATGCAAATCGTAATTAGACGGCGGATCGAAGTAGACCGCCGAACGTATTAAGATTGGAATAACCCCGCTTTCCTATAAGGCAGAAATCTATTACCCGCGGATTCGCGGTAGTGGATTCTTGATTTGCGCTTCCATGATAACGTCCGTAATTTCCGTCCCGCGAGTATTTGGGATGCTGCATCTCGATCGTGCTCTCGACTCGATCCGTCCGGCATCAGTATTGTGGCGATATATCCTGACGTTTACGATTGGCCTCTTTCAACCGGCGGTCCGTGGCGCATTACCGCGATAGCAAGCAGAATAGCGAGCAAGATAGAAATAGAGAAGTTTGCTAACGGTCCCGAATAGGAATTTTGCCCCTCGCTATGCATGCTCCCGAGTTACGCGTAACGGACCGTCGCCCCAGCATAGTTTTCCGAAGACGATGCGTGGCGCAATACAAAATTAGAAAGTATAAATTCAAAATCCAAGCATCATAACAGTCCTGCTTTACCATAATCTCTGACAACCGAAGGTTTGGAGTTCACAATTGTCTCACAAGAGAACCTCTTGAAGTACGATTCTGATTTTAA